GCCTGCCTAAACTGCCTAATCCTAACCCTAAATACTTAAAAAAATTTCTTTTCATTCTCCTTTTTTACTCTCACTCTCAGAAGCGGCTCTCATTTCTCCTTCTCAACTCTCAGAACCAGCAAACCTAGCTGTACCTGTGAACTTAGTCACCGGTGGTCGACACCACTAGAAGTAGTCATCTCTTTCTTCGGCGATGATGTCTCTCTCCCTCTCTCCAGCCAGCACCATTTTCATCTTCTTTCTTCTCATTCTCAGTTCTCTCTCTTCTTAGAACTAGGTCTTCTATCTTCTCAGTTCTCTCTCCTATTGTCGATTAATTGGAGTTGATGAAGCATACACAGTTCTTGGTAGAACGAGGGAAGTTGGGATCAACCCAGATGCCATTACTTACAATGCTTTGATTGTTGGTGCCACCAGGTATCGCTTACTACCACTATGTCTCAATTTGTTCGAAGAAATGCTTTAAATGATATCATTCTTAACATATAGAGTTACAATATTTTGATGATCTGTTTCTTTAAATCTGGACAATCGGTAGAAGCTAACAAAATCTTCTGCGATATGATCCTAAGCAATGTTTCTCCATCTCCAACTACATATAACACCATAGTTGATGGCCTATGTAAATCAGGTTTTACCGTTAATGCCCTTAGGTTATTTAGGAACTTACAACGGCATGGATTTCTTCCCAAGTATTCACACTAGTAAATTAGGAACTTACAATGGTTATTCAGGAACCAACAAGAGGACTTTAGTAATGCTTAGAATTATTCACACTAGTGGATTTGGGGAAGAAATCCATCTATTTAGTCACTCTCAAGTTAGAAACCTATTTTTTCTTTTTTCACACGTTACATCTATTTACTTACTCTCAAAATTGAAAAAAGGCCACAAAATTTAAAGCTCAGAATTAAATTTTCCACAAGCTACATCTATTTAGTCACTCTCAAGTTAGAAACAAAGAACTTTCCACCAATTTCATTCTCATATTTCAAATCTCATATTTAATATAATGGGGCCGAGTGATGAGAATGGAGCTCTATGTTCATAAAAAAGGGGGAATATTCTCGATTAGTACCCTGTACTTTGTCTCTAGTGTTACTTTGGTCCCCAAAATTTAAAATGTGACAATTCAGTACATGTAGTGTGTGTTAGCCAACATTGATGTTCTTGCCAAAGAAGTTGGGATAGCTTGTTTCAGTTGATAAGTTTATACCCAAAGCACATGCAGTGTGTGTTTGGTTGAAACACTAAACCCGAACCATTTTTCAGTTATGTCCTATACCTTGGAGATTAATGGAAAAACTGAAAAGTTACATATAATCCCTACACTTGATTATAGTATTGTACTAGGTGTTGGATTGGGCTGTCTTTGATATGCCAATTAATGAAATCTATTGAGGGTCAAAACCTGAGTGTGTTGGGACAGTCTAAGAATTCACTTGGGTGGATGATCATAGTGATAGGATCGACCACTTTGTTGGACAAAGTGAATGATAGGGCTTACACTCTCTCTAATGGAAACCTAAATTATTGGTAGTGGATTTCACTTGTGTTTAAGATCTGGTTTTGCAAAATATATTTATATGATATATATATTGTGTTTTATGAAAAATGTTTGCAAAAGGTTTTAATTTCCGGATCCATCCGAGCAGAGAATGTTACACTATAGCTTACAATCAGGGTAGATGTCCTATACTATCGGACAATGTTGTGATTATTATGGGCCGAGATGTTAAGTATAAGAGACCATTAAAGGTTGATTACCTAATGGGCTTTATCTTACTTAAGTCCATTATCTTTGGGTTTTTATAGGATGGTTGAATTCAAAGATCGTTTAAGTGTAAATGTTGGGCCTATATTGAGCCCACAGTGATGTGATTAGGGGTTCATTGCGTTTAGCAGTGAATTTGGCCAAGGCTTTTCACAAAGACTGGGCCGAACCCATGTGGACTTATGTGAGGTCATCACATGCCATACAAATTAGCCCTAAGTTGCCCATGCAACACCTTTTGGTTGTGAGCCTTATAGCTGATGAACCTAAGGCCCAAAATTAATATGATTAATTAAACTGCCACATGTTGTCATGTGACATGGGGTGAATCTCGATATGGAGAATCAAATCTTATAAATAAACAAGGTATATCTCTAATTAGAGTCCATATTTGTTTTAAATCTGGATTATTTCTTAATTATATTAGGAGATAGTTCCATAAGAGGTTATAAAAAAGGAGGGGGCGGACCAGTCTAAGACAACTTCATATTTTTGTAGTTTCTAGTTCTTTCTGCACCCTTTTGTCTCCTAGTTTTTTTCTAGTTTGACCTTAGCTATCTAAGACTAATATAGATAAGTTTTCCCTCTGACTAGTTTCCAGATTGAATGGCTCAACCATCCGGGTCAACTGGTAAAGCATAAACTCTAAGAAGCACATCTAAAGCTGATCATATTGAAAACTCTCAATCTGAATTAATGATTAGGTGGCAAATTATTTTCTTCATTTTGAGGAGAAAGGTGTGTAGGATAAGATAGATGCCATTTCTTCTTCCTTCTTCCTACTGTAAAGTAGGGGGAATGAATAAGATATACACTATGCAGAGAGGGGCTTAAAGGAGAGAACTAGGGTTTTAGAATTTGTCTTCGCTTCATATGTGAATGATGACAATTGGCCTTTTGCCTCCTGCTATTCTGCTCGTCAATGGTGGGGTCATTATTTGTATATCTAACGGCTAGCGTCAGGATATTGGTTGATCCTGATTCATTTATATTCGGATTCAAATCGAACATCCGTTCAATTTATATAGAAGAGTCTAGATCTCCTGCCAACAAAATGCATTCCAAACCCCTATGGTCCTACCAAGTACAACCCCTATAGTATTACATTGGTAGGGTGTTAGAATACCGGATTGGCCCGATGATCATCAAGAAAAAACACCTTAAAATGAATCAATATAAGGAACTTAAGAGCATTTCCTGATTCAATACAACTTATTATGTTAATGTAGACAATTGAAAAAAATTGGGAGAAAACACAAAAAAAGCTTCATTTAATCATCTAATTGATTGTTCCATGATGAAAAGAGAGAGGTTAAAAAAATCCATTCCTCCCTTCAATTCAAATGGTATCATAAAAGTGGCATTCGTAAAAAGGGAGAAAAAATAACGAAAAACTAGACAAGCCTAACATTAGAAGCCTCATAAAACTCTGAAGCAAAACTTTTGTTCACCACCCAATCATCTGGCCAGTTGCCTTCGGCTATGTTTGGTTTCAAAGAAAATTAAGAGACAAAAAGAAGGTCCGAGGAAATCTCAAACAAATTTTGTGAAATCCCTTGAGAAGTTTTCCCCAACTTTTTTTATCTCTCTTATTTTCTTTCAAACCAAACACAGCTTGGTGAGTGAGAAAATTTCACTTCCAAGACAGCATCTCATATTAGGTCTTGGCAGCATTGAATCATATTCCTTTATTTTTCCCAATCATTCATTAATTCCACCCTTTGTTTAAGGCCAACCCAAGCTCAACCCTAAAATATAGGCCTAAGGCCTGTGCCTGAGATAGAGGTGATCATGGGCTAGGCTGAGTTACTGATTCCGGACTTATGAATATTATATATGTATAAAATATTGAATATATAAATACTGAAAACATCCTCATTTTTTTAGTTGGAGCTAGAATTCCTTTCTTCATGTTTGTTAGCACAATTCCCAATGATGCCCTTTGTTACCTCTTTGCAATGGTTGATTGTCTTACGTGGATACAAACAAAAGGCACCCTTGAATAGAGGACCTTGTTTATTAAAAGATCTGTTTTTTGTAGTCTTTGCAAACACTATTGTTTTTGTATATACATAAACAAATGTGAATGTGAAACGTACCCTTCTTCCATTAGATTTATGATTTCAGATTATTTTTAATTAATTCCCAAGCAGGTAATAGGTGGATTAGTGGATAGATGCAACTCCATTGGTGCTAAGTTTTCACTGTTTCAATGTTGAAGAGAACGGGTTTTTTTCTCTAAAACCAATTTAGTCCAAAATTTAACTTGAGGTATACTACTCATCTTTCTTTCCCCATTTGAGATAACAGTTTATAAATCTGATAGGACACGTCTAAAACTCTAAATCCAATTTGAAAAGTGAGGGAATGTTTTAGAACTTAGGTGAAATATCAGGAGAGGTTTAAGTCTTTTACCCTATATATAATATTAGGTAAATTATAAATAGGTACTTTGTACTTTAGGGGTAGTGAGGCTTGAACCTTCAAGTGGGATATTTAGAAATATACACTTAAGTCCAATTCTGTTAAAATTGATGTTACAACGATGGCAAAATTACAAAAATGGCCATATTTAGATTTCATTTTGCTCATTGAACTTTTATTTTACTCTTTTCTTTTTCATATGAAATCATCTTTATGCATCTTTTCAACAAAGAATAAAAGCATTTGAATGGAACAACGAAGAACAATGAAAAAAAAGAAAATTTGAATATGGGCATTTTTGGAATTTTACTCTCAATGAAATGTTAGTTGGACTCAAGGTTACATTTCTAAAAAATCAGGATACTAAAATGTCACACTTGAAAGTTTAAGCCGTTAATTCACCCTATAATATTTTATAGGGTACCTGTCTGTAATTAATTCACCCTATAATATTTTATATGCCGTTAATATGTGTATAAAATTTATTTTATGCAATATAGAATATAAAAATAATATATGATATGTATTATAAGTGTATCGTATGATATGATATAAAATATCATATGCAATATAGAATATAAAATATCATATGATATGATATATGTATTACAAGTGTCATTTTTATACTTTATAGGTTTCTTGCACATTATTTTTGCTTGCATTAATACACATTTTTCCAGCATTTTCCCTGCAATAGATTTTTCTCTTTTTTATTTCWTTCGGCCCTTGCCATAGATATAGAACCATGTGGGTTTATATGAAAATCGTTGCTTTTCTGGAAGTTACAACTAACATTTATATATGTATCAATAAAATGTATATATAGAATTRTACATACAACCATGAAGTTTATAGGCAACCCAGATGAACAGCTAGTGGAATCTGTCTRAACTAAAGTTTCTTGAAGAGGTGATACATTAATCAAGTAGATTAAACCACAACCGTCGCCAGCTGTTGTTAATATAGAGAATTCCAATAAACCCTATCAACACAGTAGTATATGAAATTCCAAAGCTCAGGTAGAAGCTGTCTGTGTCCATGAAATCTTTGTCTTCTCTCTCATTATTAAATGGGGTTGGCTCAAGTGTGCTGCAACTTTTCTCAAATGGAGATCCACATAGAAGGGGATTGCCTTCATAACTGCTCTCTTCAAATGTCGCAAATTGCTTCCTATCTGGAATTTGACCAGATAAATTGTTATGCGCCACACTGAAGACTGCTAAAGAGTTCAGGTTGCTTAGTTCTGAAGGAATAGTCCCAGCCAAGTTATTGTAAGAAAGGTCCAAGCTCTCTATCTTCTCTAAGTTTGAAAAAGATGTAGGAATGGGTCCAGCTAAAAGGTTGTGAGAAAGATTAAATGCACGAAGTCTTCCTAAGTTCCCAATTTCAGGTGGGATGTCACCTGTTAATCGATTTGATGAGAAATCAATTCCAGTCATGTAATAAAGAGAGTTGCCCTTGTAATTATAGGACCTAGTCTTTGTTGTGAACTCCATCTCCGTCACCTCATATACAGCAATATAGCTATAAAAATTAACTTGGTACAGATCCAAATCACCAGATTCCTTCACTAGACTTTGAAATGAATATGATGAGTAGATTGGAGAACCCTGTTGGAGACGATATTTTCCAGATCGAAAACCTACCTTGAATGTTAGGTTAGATAAGCAAGAAGGTATAGTACCTGAAAGATTATTGTGAGAAAGATCCAGTATGGTTATCTTGGACAATTGACACAACTGAGTGGGAATTTTGCCTTGGAAGTTATTTTCATCCAGAAGTAGAATGCTCAAACTCTGTAGCTTGCCAATCCAATCTGGAATTCTACCAGTCAAATAATTTTTTGCAATGTTTAGTGTCACCAAATATGAGCTTTTGGAGAAAGCAGTTGTCATTGGTCCTGTGAACCCATTTTTCTGAAAACGTGCATGAAATAAGAAAGGTGGACTAAAGCAATCTGGTATAGAGCCAGAAAGATTGTTCTCAGAGAGGTCTATAATTCTAAGATCATTAAGTGAACAGAACTCAACCGGGATTGGACCTTCAAGATGATTGTTGGTAATTTTCAGTGCCTCCAATGATGACATGTTTCCCATCCACCACGGCAGCTTGCCGGATATATTGTTATGACTGATATCCAGTCTCTTTAGCTCGGAACTGTTAGACAATATATCTGGAATCTCCCCTGTAAACTGGTTTCCATCTAAGTAGAGGTAGTGCAAGCGAGTCAAGTTGGAAAATGATGGAAGAATTTGGCCCTTTAAGTTACAATTTGATAGCTTAATGAGCTCCAATGAGGTGTAACCCGTTGCCAAGTTTTCTGGTATTCCTCCCAAGAAACGATTGTTCGACAAATCTAAAGCCTGTAGCCTTTTCATATCTCCCAAAGAAGAAGGAATTCTACCTCTAAGAGAATTGCTTGACATATTTAGCACCAATAAATTTGGTAGAATTGTGCCAATATTTGTTGGAATTTCTCCTGAAATGTGATTTCTAGAGATATCTAATATGGATGTATCTCTATTAGGATGGGATGGAAGAAGAAACTGACCTGTCAAGGAGTTGTTCTTTAGGTTCAGAATCTCAAGTCTTGTATTGTTTTCCAGCAACCAATTTGGAAATTCTCCTTCAAAGTTGTTATGGGAAAGATCAACTACTCTCAAGTCATATTGGTATTGAAGAAATTTGGGAATAGAACCAGACAATCTCTTGATGGTGGAGTTGGAAAAAAGCAAAATCTTCAACTGGAAGGTTGGGACCCAAGGTGAGTAATCGGTTTCCAGTACCAGTTCATTGTTGCTGTTTGCAAATGCTTCGAGTTTGGAATGGTTAGCTAATGAGCTGAATGAGAATGGACCTTGAAAGCGGTTATCAGATAAAGAAAGGTATTCCAGAGATCTGAGACTAGTAATGAGAGATGAGGAAATGTTTCCACCAAATTGATTGGAAGAGAGATCCAACACACGAAGTGATGTCAAGTTTTCTAAGCATGAAGGAAGGTTCCCCTCAAAACCATTCATGCTAAGATCTAGCTCCTCAAGGTTCTTCAATGTGCATAAACCTACAATTATGAATACAGGTGATCACAGTAATGCACTCCTCCAGTATTTAAGCAAGGCTATGTTTGGTTTGGTATTTAGAAAATAAGTGTAACAGAAAGTTGAGGAAAAGTTCTTGAAAGCTTTCATTGCAGTGCAAATCTTGATCATGCACAAAATTTGTACCCATCAGTTATGTTTTCATTTGTTTTTGTAAGTATAATTTGCGTTCCTACCTAATACAAGATATATACCATTTGTTTCTTTTGCATTCACTGGCAGTGCAAATACTGCATACCAAAAACTGATAAAAAATTCGCGCCACCTTCCTCCTACCTCAATTCTTTCTCATATAAAGTGGGCACCACATCATTTTGCATCCTACCTTACTCCTAGATGGATAACCCTCCTCTTACCTCCATTCTCTGTCATGGTCATGTCATTCTACTTTTTTTTATAGAAAAGATAAATAAGAATATATCCACAAAGAAAAGAGAAAAGGAAAATACAAGAGGAAAAGCTTAACCACAGAAGATCCCAAGACCACCCAAGGTTGGATCCACACATAAACCCACATAGACACAGCAAGACAGATACAACCAAAAGACAGAAGCAAAACAAGAATAAAAACCCAAAAATACAAGATAATGTCAAATCTGAAGCAAAAGAAAACCAGAATTTACATTCAGCCATTTTTGCACTCCCATTCATTTACACCAATGCAAATTTCATTTGCACTGGAACCAAATGCAACCTTAAGAACTTTCTCTCAATTTCTCTTACTAGTAATTAAGCACATGCATGTGAGAAATTTTTAATCATATAATTACTTGAATTTTAGATATATCATAGTTAAGATAGAAATTGAAAATTAAGAAAAGTAACAATATGATTAAAAATAAACTTAAATATTTATTATTCAATTATGATATCATAGGTTTCTTTGAAAAGTTGGATCATTGACCCACCATTTAGATAATAAAATAGTTTTTCTATTGGATTAGTTTTAAATTAGGAAAAACTATAGTCAGAGCCGGCTGTATATTTAAAATTAGGCTACAAGTTGGTCCACAAACCAACAAAATTCTGACAACCGACTCTACATTTCAAATTATAAAAACTCTCACCATGTCATCAGAGGCTTATGTGGCTATTGCCAACATGGGACTCTTAATCCATGTTGGAGACAACAAAAAGCTTATACTAAAATTGCCCTTTAATGTTGGGTGATTAGAAAATTAAAAAAAAAAAGGCTTTTAGTTTCTCTCTTTCTCCCTCACACTCTCTCACTCACAATCATCTTTATCTGCTCAACGACTATGTGATTTGAAAATAAATAAAAATGGTTTTTGGCTTCTATATTTACGTTCTCTATATCAATTTCTCTAATTCTCTCTCTATATATATCATTCTCCCTCAATCTCTCTCATTCTCTTTCTCAGTCGATCTCTCATTCTCCCTTAATTTCTACCATTCTCCCTTAGTTTCTCTCCCGCTCCCTCTCTCATTTTTTTTTATTTTCTTACACACTTATATGGTATTAATCAGATTGTATAAAAGAACATGAGACCACCTTGGTATGGCTAAAAAATTATTACACAAATTTGATAAAAATTCACAAGAAACTCTTGGCTATGAAATTTACACCAACTGGAGAACGATAGAGATTGAGGGAGAAGGAGATATTGACCGAGAGGCAAAGTGAAGGAGAAGAATGAGAAAGATTAAGGGAGAATAGTAGAGAGAGAGAGAGATTTTGATTTGGCTACAGACCGGAGCTGAGAAAGTGGGAGAGACAGAGGAAGCGGGAGATTGAGAGATGATTGTGAGAGTGAGAGAGAAGGGATGGAGATCGAGAGACAGAGGAAGTGGGAGAGAAACTAAAACCTATTTTCGGTATAGGTTTTTTGCTGTGTCCAACATGGACTAAGAGTCTCATGTTGGCAACAACTACATAAGCCTCCAATGACATGGCGTGGGCTTTTATAATTTGAAATGTAGAGCCGATTGTTAGAGCTTTGTTGGTTTTTGGACCAACCTGTAACCTAATTTTAAATGTACAACCGACTTTGACTATAAATTTTCCTTTAAATTATATATTTCATTTACATTATATAAAATATTTTTTACTTATCACACTTGATTTTTGTTTGTCTATGGTATCATTTGATTCAATATAATGAATGTACAATATTAGAAATGTACCCAATATTTTATTTTTTATAAAGATATAACATTAGATATGTGCCCAAAATTTTCTCTATCTTTTCTTTGTGATTCTTTGTATTTTCTATTATTAAAAATTTTATTATTTGACTATGACATYATTTCATTTCTAGGTAGATTTTGAATTTGGCATTCCATTTTCATCATTAATAAAAATACTTCTTACATTCCATAGTTATTTATTTTAATTTTTATTATTTATGGCATTATTTATTAATCCATTTGACCCCAAATGGTCGAATTGCTTACCCACCACTAGAAGGGAAGGAAATGGTTTTGTTTTCAAATTACTTTTCAAAACATTTATTTTTATACTATTAAAATTAATATTATGGATTTAATTACAAGAATTTAATGATGAGAAAAAGATATCTTAAATATAGGATTTAATGAGAGAGAATAGGAAAATATTTTT